ATTTACGTATTGTCTTTAGTTATTTAATCGTATTTCACTGTTATTGAAAATTTGTTATTTCTTACTCAGTGTTTGCAAATCAATGTAACTATTTACTTATAGTGAAAAATTATCAATGAATTTATCTCTAATATATGACTTGATTATATTAGAAAAATTATTTAAACTCTCAATTATATAAATTAAACTCTTTTTTTTTTATAGTTTATCTTTCCTTTAATTTGGACACAATTTTTTAGTCATGAATGGATGAGGATCATGTTAGGATGATATTTAATGATCAAGTGTGTCAAAAACTAAATTAAAAATTATACTAAATTAACATTATTGTCCTTGAGATAATCATTATATTATTTCCTTTTTATTATCTTATCTTATACACACATAATTACTTGGAAGAATTGAAATGTTATTGGAACAACCACAAAAGAATAATTCTACAAAAATATTATTAGTAGCTTTTGCTTTTAAAATTTCCTTTTTTATTTAATTAATTGTCCTAAACGATATATAAAAAATGGCTAATCATAAGAATCAAAGAACATAATCCGATAATCTTTTAGAGATTATTTAGTCATTAATTATCTTAATGCTTTAACTATTTTCGTAATGATTAATTATTGTTAGCCCCACTAATCCTATCATTATATGCATATAACATAGATATTGCGGATTAGACATGAAAATTTAATTTTGGTTTAGATTTTTAATCTATTTTCAAATTCAATGAATGACAATTCAAATCCAACCAAACAAGTTAAGGATAGATCAATTTTATTTTTTATTTTTTGACTTTTTTTAAATTTTGAGAATCAAATAATTTGTGTATTTTGATCGGGGATAAAATTTTTGGATTTTTTAAAAATAAAATCTATATATTTAAAAACTATGTAAAAAAATATTATAAATCAGAGTAATTGACAACTAAAAATACATAAAGGTACATACATGAAATTATGATAAAAAATTTACTCATTTGAATTTCGAAATCTCAAAGATGCTATATATATAAATTGGTACGGAGGGAATAGTTCTTATTTTGTTGCTATCAATTATTTTTATTATTATCAGTTATTTCTCATACTTTTTTTACCACTTCGTGAATAGATTTTGATTTTTTTTTCTTAACTCGAGAATTTATTGAAAAACAATCATCTTTGTATATTTCTGAGGTATAATATCTGCGTACATCTACTATCTTTAGATTTTATTATATTAAATTATACTAAATATATTATTATTATTGTTACCGATTAAATGAAATCAACTTTTATATATATATATATATATATTCTCCAAGTCCTAAAGGAATAATTCCCAAAACAAAAAATGAGGTTGAAATAAGAGAGGTACTTTTGACATTTTGTTCACATGGCTATGTCCTTATCTTAAATTGAAAAAAAATATATATATTCTATGCTTAGCAAGATTGTGCCCACGTAATATAATATCTGCTTAATATGTGTTTACTCTCGTCTCAATTTATGTGATATTTTTTTTCTAAAAGTTAAATAATTTAAATTTAATTGATGATTTATGCATAAAATCTCTAATTTTTTAAAATAAAATTTATATATTTATAAACTACGTAAAAAATACTATAAATTTCACTAATTAACAATTAAAATATTTAAAAAAATGTATAAAAAATTTACGATCAAAGATATATACTAGTTTAATTCTCGAAATACAAAAACCGCCGCTACATAAATTGAGACAAAAAGAGCAATATATATATATATATATATGGGCCATAGAGAAAAATGGAATAAAAAAGCAAAGGTAATGGAGAAAGAGGAGTCAACTGTTTGTTTTCATGAATGGTGAGGGACACTCCCAACATATTCGAATAGAATTTAAGGTATATATTTACATATATACGTTGACAGTATAAAGATATTTTTGAGTTATTGGATTGCCACCAAAATTATAATCGTCATAGTTATATATTGACCAATTATTATTTATATGTACAAATATAGGATCTAAATAAAAGTATTGAATTCATCTAATTAAATCTATATAGCTGATGTTTATTTTTTATTATCATATAAGAGATTAATAATGATATTACAACCATTGCCATCAATCAGTATCATCGTTAATTATCAGTTGTCATTAATTACTATTCACCATGAACAACTATTACTAATCACTATTGTCGGTGATTATCACATTTATCATTATAATTATATTTATTGCTAGCATTACCGTCGTTCATGATTATCAACCACTATAGACCATCACAACTACCATTACCGATGCCAACTATCACTAACACAACATTACTCACACACATTCATCAATCACTACTATCAACATCGTCAATTAACTTTCCAATAATCCAACACCATTGTCACCTCCACTATCATTATCAACCACTATTATCACACAATCTATCTCTACTACTAACTATCGCTACCATCACAATTAGCACCGTTGTGAACTACCACCAATACATATATCCTCAATCACCACAATTATCAACACTGTTAACTACTAATATCAATCAATTGACATTCCCATAAACCTACAAAACTATCAAACATTTATCATCACGTTAGTCACTACAATACCAACCACCTCATCACAACCATCACTATCATCTTATGCATATTCAAATATATTAAAAGAAATAAAAAACTATTCGATATTCGTATAATGATTCAGATATATAATTTAGATTAAGGTGTTGTAAACTCAATAAGAATAATTAAGACCTTAGTATCTTTTCAATAATTTTAGTCATACAAATATTTTTTATGATTTAAGTAATTAATTAACCCAACTTGGAAGACAGATATAAATGACCTTATCCATCTATCTAATTAGTATCTTTTTTTTGGGAGTCTCACGTGGTCTTACTTCTCAAATACCCCTTCTTCTCCTTTGACTTTGTAAATTATTTCCACAAGTGCTAAGAATATTTATAGTATTTTTGAATCTTTAATTTTATTTTTTTAATTTCAATAACTTTATATACATCCAATTTATACATTCCCCTAATTGGCTTAAAAGATACTTGTTGTAATGTAGTTTTAATTATCCCACACAACATATATATATATATATATATAACAACAAAAACTTCTATTAAGAATAAAATAAGTAATGTAGAGTGATATTTTATCGGTAGATATGGTGCATCAGATGAAACTGTAACTTTTTTTTTTTAGATATGAGAAAAATCCTTAATGGTATAAGATAATCAAATTTTAATACAGATATAGTATATCGTGTGATCAAAATGTATAGTGATACTTGTTGTATAGACAAATGTGACCTTGTTAGAAGTGTTGGGGACAAGCAACATGCCCACTTGCAGAATTTGTTCTCTATGTGTGAGCATTATTGAAGTGATAAAATGGGCCCTAATTCGAATAAACCATCTTGCATCGCCTTCCCCTTCCTAATAACTTTGCTTGTGAGTTATTGATATTCGGGTGTTGTTGAAGAGTTTTATATTCGATCAGATGAAAAAAATTCAATTTGAAATTCATACTCTGAGACGGGATAGTGTTAGCTATGTGGGAGTGAATGGTGTATCTTAGGTTTACTTAATATGACTTGGATATTCTCACTCTTGATATAATTTTTGCGGTTGAGTTAAGCTTAAAGTTAATTTATTTACGATGATATTAGAGTAGGACTCGTCTTAGTTCTTGTTCTTGATAATATTGGCTCCATACTAAATTATACATACTTTAGATATTCAACTCTAGGTATAACATGCAGTATTAAAGAGTCTCACATTAAATTAAAAAGTAATAATATGATCTGTTTATATAATTTTGAGTGATTCTGAATTTTTTTTTTTAATATTTCAAATTAAGTTAGACTCAATATTCATTTAACCGACAAAGAAATAGTATCTGCCCCTGTGCATGGGGCAAATGTATCTTATGTTTTTTCTTTGACACTATAAATAGAAGTGACAAATCTTTATTTCTTATCACAAAACACACAAGAAAACAACTTCACGTGCAATAATACTCCTCTCATATCTATAACACCAAAAATTTGTGTTTTTTTTAAAAAAATATATATATTTGAGTGTCAATTAAGACAAAATAAAAATATTTTTTTTTCTATTTCAAAAGGACCTTAATATATCTATTTCTTGTTTAAATTTGTATTAATACTATATGGAAAAGGCAAAGCAAGTGATTGATTCCTCCTCCTCTTCTTCATCCTTCACCAATGAGCTTTTTGGTCCCAAAGAGCCTTCAAACTCCACTCTCTTTGCTTCTGTTTTTGGTCCACCTTCCACGGTATTATCTTGTATTTTATTCTTATCATTAACGCAATATTATTTTTACGTGAAATAAGTGAATTTTACGTATTCTTTTAATTGTAAAAAAGAAATTTAACACTGTAGATAATTCGTCAACTGAGCTACACCCATTATTTTTATGTTCATATACATTTTGGCATATGAAACTTTTTTTTTTTTCATAGTTTCATTAGTTATTTTTTTTAAAAAAAGTTTTCTCCTAGTTTTAGATAAAGAAAATTAATCATCTTTTTTTTTCATGTTTGTATTAATTGTTTCTTTTGTTTACTCAAGTGAGAATTAGTATTATCTTAAAAAAAGTCTTTTTCTTAATTAAAGAAAAATAATTTTTTTAAACTCAGATAATAACTATTAATTGAATAAATATTCAGTGAACCCTCTTAGACCTTAGCTTATTAATTAAGCACATAATTAAAGAGATTGGTTAGCAAAACATCAAGTTTATCCACTAAAATAACTAAAAATTCAGGAAAAAAGGACTTGCTTTAGATTCTCTATTTTTTTCTTGTGTCTTATATTCATTAGCATCTTACAATGTGATTAACATGTTATTTACTATTTTTATTAGATTATTCATTAATAATAATTAAGAATTTTTTTTTGTAATTATCTATTAAATGACTTAATTATGTAAATGTTTTTAATTTTTGACTTTTAGGGACTTAGAAGGGATCCAATTCACTCAGGGGATCATAGAGGTTCATCAAGAATCCAAGATCAAGGCAACCAATATGGAAATAATACAAAATATGGGACTTCAGGTTAATTTCTGAAAATATATTTATATTATATAATGTCAATATCCTACTCTACGATAAGAATCTACTACGAGTTGGAGTCATGATTGAACACGATAGTTGTTTAACAATTTTTTAATTAAGAAATAAGAAATAAAGTTATGTCGTCATTGCTTATGAGCTATAATTTCTAACATAATAGTAAACGTAAGACTCTACTACGAGTCGCAGTTATGATTGAACATGATAGTTGTTTGACAATTTTTTAATTAAGAAATAAGAAATAAAGTTATGTCGTTGTTGGTTATGAACTATAATTTCTGACATAATAGTGAACATAAGACTCTACTACGTGTGGCAGTCATGATTGAACATGATAGTTATTTGGTAATTTTTAATTAAAAAATAAAAAATAAAATTATATCGTTATTGCTTATGAACTATAATTTCTGACATAGTAGTAAACGTTTGATTCAAACGATATATATATGTATTTTTTTTATTATTTTTTACAGAGAATGGATCTAAAAGAAGTCAAAATGAAAAAGTAGAAGCTCCATGTAATTTAAGTTCATCTATTTACTATGGTGGCCAAGATGTTTATCCTCCAAATAATCAAACCACTGGCTCACAGAATAATATTGTAAGTATTTTTAGATTTTTTTTTCACTACTATATCATATATAATATATAATTAGATAATTAAAAGAACACTAATTTTGTTAGTAATAAACTTCATTTTTTAAAAACATTTTGTAATATTTTGTGGTTAATTTTATTAGGTAAAGAAAGATGGAGATGGTTCAAACTCTGCTTCAAGAGGAAATTGGTGGCAGGGTACGTTTCATGTATCTAATATAACGATAATTATATTATTGAATAATATTGTTACGTATCTTTTTTGACGATATTAAAAAGGAATTATTTTATTTTTTGTTTTTGATTTGTGAAAATAAAGGCTCGATGAAAAGATTTTTGTTAATAGAAAAAGGTGTCAGGCATCGGTTGAATCACGTGATTTTCGCACATCAATAATAATAATATATTGTTTGATATTTCTTTAATTTAAACATGATATATCTTTTTCAATTATTATTAATAACAATTTTTTTTTAATTTTTTATTTTCAGGATCATTGTACTACTAAAAAGAGAAGTGGAGAGGATTAGTTGATGAATATTACAAAATTTCAGTTCTTTTTTTTTTCTCTCTTTTTAAATTTTAGTTTGTAAATCGGTATAATATTAGTTACTATTTACAGTTTGCTGAAATAATTCTCTTATGTTCATCTCTAATTATCTTTTTAGTTTACTAAATATTTTTATTGATATTTTGGATAAGATTAGTAAAGGAATACATATGAACGTCACACACACAAAAAAATGGAATGATATATATCGACAATTTACAGAAATTTTTATTTCATCAGATAAATTGTTATGAGTAGAAAATATTTTTTCGAACAGTTATATATGTTCATCAAACGGTATGATAGCATGCACGAATCCCTCCATAATTAAATAGCTCAACTTCGTTGTCCAAGATTAAATTTGTACGTTTTAATTTTTTTAAATAAATTGATCTTTAATTTTTATCTTTCAAATAAATTGAACTTTAATTTTTAGCTTTTAGGAATCGAACTTATGGTTAGTGGACCATAAGTTCTTTAGAAACTTACATCATTTTGGGCATAGCTTATGAAATATTATAATATAAAACTTATGTTCCGTTAAAAATTATCTCGTTACGAAGAATATAAATTAAAGAGTACCACAAAATAGGATTTTAGTGCAAACTAGAGTGGGCTCTTAGAACTTTTGGATGAAGACCCAATAAGTATTGTCAAAGCCCAAACTCAAATACATTTTTTTTGCCCCTAAAGATGACTTAAATGTCTTTGAAACTATTTATATAAGTATATAAAATTAAATTACTTATAATCTAAAAAAATTCCCCAACTTATGACTGATGTTAGTGTATAAGTCCTTTCCATATTTTTAATAATATTGGTATATAATGTATAAATAAGTTTAAAAAATATATACAAGTTACTTTGATCACTCAAAAACTTTATCATCAGCTCATCTTGGATTGTGGTGGAATGAATATGATCCTCTACCTTAAGAAGATAATTTCAATCCAAATTTATAAAATCGTCCTATTTAATTTACATTTTAATGAGTTGGATCACTTATCATTCAGCCGAGTCAAAGTCAAATCTGGGTCCTGGGTCAGGGGCGAAGGTTGGGAGTAAGGTCTCGAGTCAGGAGTGTAATTGATTCTCAAGTTGAGGTCAAGTGTTTGGTCCCAAGTCAAGGTCGAGATAGGGTATGGTTCCGAATCAATGTTGGAGTTATGATCAAATCTCTCATATCTATAGATAGACATATGAGAGAACTTATGACCTCGCGAGTTGAGAGATATTCAAACTTTTAATATTATTATAAATACTTTGACTATGAAAATCATGATTGATCACCATCGATAAAGAAGAATCTTACAAATATATTTTGTATCAGCATAGCATCCAAACATTCAAAATATATCAAAATTGAAAATGACATAGTGTTAGACTCTGTTCTATTAGTTATCATCTAAAAATAATCAAGTAATTAATAATAAAACAAAGATCTTTAGTTTAATCCATTTTATACATTTGATCATAATAATTAGAGGATATTTGCTTAGTATGAATTCAGATTAGTTAGGGTCTAAATATAGATATCGAATGCTGAGAACCAAAGAACATAAATTAAAACTAATACAAATTTTATTTTGTTTGGTCAAATCTTTCTTTTACTTTGTACCTCCAAGATAACTACAAATGAAATCAACACTTTTTCTATTCCTATAGATGACTTCAACCAAAAAGACAAATTAAATAAATTAAGATATAAAGTGTAGAATCAAAAGATATGAAGATCTAGTTAAAAAGTTTAGTTATTATCAATTAGCTTTTGAGATTTTTTTTTCCTCCAAAATTTCTTAGATAATTTTGGCATTTTCAAAAGCCTTCAAGAATTACTCTATTTAGAATAATTGACTTTTGAAATTCTTTTTAAGCTAAAGATAAGAATGTGAAAGGGGGATATCCAAATTAGTTTGAATTCAATGCACTAGTGGTTTAAAAAAAAAGAATTCTTGTAAGCTAAAAAATGAATAATTAAAGATCCGTTGAATTCAAATCGTATCAAGCATAAAAATCTTATTCTTTTTACTTGAATAGAAAAATTCGTAACCAAGCACAAAAATGAAAGTTGACCCTAAAAATGCAAATTAAAAAGTAGCTCATAGATTCAAGTGATCAATTCAATTGAATTTAACTTTATATTCTAAATGATTGAGCGATAAATTTATTATATAAAAATTAATTTCACTACTAATACATATAAAAAGTTATAACATATGTACTAAATAAATAGTAGTAAATCTTCCTTAACATTACTTTTTTTTCTTTTAATGGTGTCATCCATTATAATATTTACTAATTTTGGTCTTATTCTAGAATTATCCATGTAACCTTAATCTAATCCATAGATGCTTTGTAAAAATATGTATTTTTATCATGCTTTATCTCTTTGTGATCATCATTCCCTCTTAGTTCAGCCACAATGCAATTTGTAAATAAAATATTAATTAAATATTATTTTCATTAAATTACTTTTATCATTTACACTTTTAAAACCTAAAATAAACAATTGGAGTAATATTTCCATTACAAGTTTGGGAAGTGGTGAGTTAGTGATAAAGGTCAAGTTTGAAAAAAAAAAGTATCTTTCTTAAATCTGTTAAAATAGACAAGTAGATAACATGCATTATTAATATATTGAACAAATAAAAAATATCGAAGAAGTATTTATAGATATCTCACATTGCTCAGAGCTTTTTAATACGACTTAGATAATACTCACTCATTGACTTGGTCGTTTGACATGAATTAGCCTAAATCAGCGAATACAATGATAAAAAATGAAATTTGAGTCTAATATATGTCGAGTAACGAATTCATAGGCGAGAAATATAACTGTATAAAAAGAAAAATAACTCTATACCAAATCGATGTGGTACACCAACCTATATTGATATTGATGGAAAGTTATTATTTCATCAAAAAGTTGATTTAAGTCGCGATCCATTATTACACTATCGAAACTATCTATTTAGAATAAAGAGTATCATATAAACTCAAGTGATTAAAATTTCTTCGTATTTTATGTGAATTACTTTTCTTTTTTAGATGCGGCAAAGGGATGGTAAAGCTTTGAAGTCAAGCAACTAACTATTGAAAAATTTAGAACCTTTGCAGATTAAACCTTTTAATTTGTGTGATTAATTGATTGAATATTTAAAATAATAACTAAACCTGAATGATAAGTTAAATTATATTGTGATAATATAAAAATTAATTACACTATTAACCAAAATAAATTTATATCATATGGGATAGTATACATGGAGATCTTCCTTAACATTACTTTTCTTTTTATAGAATCTATCTAAAAGTATATTAAAAAAGGTATTTGCATTATAGTATTTACTAATTTTGGTGCTTTATTGAATTATCCTTGTAATATTAATTTAATCCATTAGATGCTTTGAAAGATAAAATTGAAAAAAAATAGTTCTCTCTTAATCTACTTAAAAGAGTTGAGGAAATAACATGTCTTATTAATATATTGAATAAGAAAATATTAGAGGATGAAATATTGTTCTAAACGATTAAATTGATGTTTTGTTAATCGGTTATGAAGATATATCCCACATCGACGAGGGATGAGATCTCTAAAAATTTTAATATGGCTTGGACATGTTAAAATCATGAATTGGCTGCTGGATTTGAGTTTAGCCCGATATTATGTGATAAAACAATCAAAATATTAGGCCGAACTCAAGCCCAACAGTCAATTCAAAAATTAAATATTTCTCAAATAATATAAAATGAAAAATAACTCCATACTCTATCGATGTGGTACATTAGAGCTGTCGAAAAGGGACGACCCACCCCATTCGATCCAAGCCTCAAGGGCCAATGAATTTGAAGAGAATCTAGTGTAATTAGCATGCATCTTGCATACCAGATACGCGCGCGGGATAAGAGAGTGAATAAACAAGATGGGAGAAAGGTGAATGCATGAGATTTATCTTAGATACGTTGCGATAAATCTATTTGGATAAAGTATATCTAGAACAAATTAATTTATGGATTCATGATATTACAACACAATGTGTATTTAAGTAACTAGATTACATACTTGTGAGATTATTGAAAGTTACCATTAAATAAAAAGTTTTGATTCATGGGTCGACCTCAGCCCGACCCCGATTAACCCTCAAGGGATAAGGACTTATATTAACCAGACTTATTAGCCCTAGTTTTAAATGAACTTGAAAAATCCTATCACAATCCTACCCTAATAACAAATAGAATTAAACCGATTCCATAAATATAGCTCATTTTGACGATTCTATAATACACCAATCAATACCAATACTGATGAAAAGTAATATATATATACCTATAAAGTTAAAGTGATCATTCGAATATAACTATTATATGAAAAAAGAGACATAACAGAATTATTTGTTCATATATAGGACCATATCTCCCTTTTTTTTTGCATTTTTTTCTTTTTAATGTAAATACATTACTTTTGATATAATTTCTGGTGAATGGATGAGGATGATATTAAAGAATGATATTTTTAAAGATAATGTATATCAAAATTTTGGATGGATATGCTTAATAATTAATGGACCTCTTATTATTCTCCTTGTGATCATTACATGATTTCCTTTTGTTTTCATATATAATTTTTGCTTGATTAGTATAGTCATAATAATCTTAATGTTTTAAATATTTTAGTAACCATTAATTATTGTTAACCCCACTAACCCTATCATGATATATAGTACTACATTACCTAAAATGAAGTGCAACAATGATGACATAACCACACTCCTAGTACTGCACGTCTTGCCAATTTATCATTAAAAAATGCGATGCAGTGAATAAAATTAAAATAGTTAGACTCTAATTCAAATATTTGACTTCTAAGTAAGAAAAAAATTCTTGCCAACTATGAGATTTTAATATTTAAACTTTTGTATTCCATCTATTCAACAATTTAAATTAATAAGAGTAATTGAGATCAATTGATAATCTCAAATCTCAATAGCTTCAATAATTTATTGAAAATCTTTAGTATAATAAATCCCAATTCCTTCACTAAAAAAACATAATATAATAATGTATTAATTAACCAACATTAATAATTCAAAAAAGTAATGATTGATTAAAAACTATATGTGAAGTTTTTGGCATTTATAG